CACCAACCCTACAGCTCCCAGTCTGGATCTGAGGTCCGTGGGAGAATTATCTGGCCCTGAAGGGCGTTGGCTGCCCCACCCTTTCCTCTCAGCCACCTGTACCAAGCGTATATGGCTTCTCTCTTAGGGCAGATCCACTCTATGACTGCAGGTTTCCTTGCTGGAAAGCCCCACCTTTTGTTGAAAGTCGAGCATCTCCAACATTCTAGAGACTCCACTGCAACTGCACAGCTTCATGAAGCAGCCCCTCAGGTCCTCTTTGTAGGGGCTCTGACCTTGCACACATCAGATGGCCTCAGAGGCCCTCTGGAGCCTTGGTACCAGACTGCAAAAGACTCCACGACCCAGTGAATCTGCCAGCATTACTGTCTGCAAAACCAATACCATGAGAATGCTACTGCCAACTTCTACTGCCAGCTCAAAATAGAGCCTGGTCCGCCTTGCACCACTGCTGTAGAAACCTCTATGTGTCTTGGAGGCTGAGCCTGGGAAAACACTTCCCTGGATGGCCATATTGGAACAAGAACCCCTTTAACTCCCCTGTGCAGTCTACATTCCTGTGAGCATCCTGGCCTTCCAAACTGCCACCAGGAACTTCTTCCACTAAGGTCTGCTCATGACATTCTAGGGCTTTTCTAGTCTGAAGTTCCAGACACTTCCACATTCCTCCTGCAAACAAACTCCAAGTGATTGAGAACCACATGGTCAGGCTGAGGACAGCAAGGGCCCCACTGTCCCATACCAGTTTACGGTATTACTTTTCCCATTGCTTTGACCTAATACTTGAAAAGAAGCAACTTAATTAAGGAGGATTTACTTTGCCTTGCCACTTAGGAAGAGAGAGCGTCCATTGCTTCTGGGAAAGCTTGGCATCGGGAGCGTGAGGCAGATGTCGCATTGCCACTGAAGTCAGGAAACATAGTAAGTGAAGCCAGATGATAGCTCAGGACCTGTCCCCAGTGACCCTCTTCTTTCTTCAAGATCCACCTCCTAAAGGTTCCACCACCTTCCAAGCCACGGTCACCAGTGGGGGCCAAGTGTTCAAACATGTAAGCCTATGGTGGGCATTTCACATTCAAACCGCAACAGTAGTTAATTCTGAATAAATTTCACAATCAGTGGCAATGTTCTGCCCAGTGAATTTCCTCACTTTGGTAATCAGATTTTAGTTATACTAAATGTAAACTTTAGAGGAAACAGACTAAAGTGAGAGCAAACATTTGGCAATATTTTTCTAACTCTTCTGTAAGTTTAAAGTACTTTAAAGTAGAAAAAATATTAAAACAATGGAGTTTTTTGTTTGTTTGTTTGTTTGATTCTGTTTTTAATGGGTCAACTGTCCAGATATTTCAAAGCTTTTGCTGATGGCGTCATGGGTCAATGAGTGTTTCCCTGTCCTGATAAGAGGAATATATGTCTACAACATTTACAAAGAACAACCTTGCAGAGCTGATCAAACTCATAAAGGCATTTTCTCTTTGACTCAGTAATTCCATTCCTGGTACATTAGCCTACAGGTATATCTGTATGTGTTCTATTATAAATTGACATATGAAAAGTACTGATAGCAGACTTATTTTAATAACAAAATGTGGAAACAACCCAAAGGATCAATAACAAGGAAATGGCTAGGTACATTTTCATATGTTAATTATAAAAAAAGTCATTACATGGAAAGATTTTAAAAACATTATGGCAAGTCTTTCTTTTAAAAAAATAAACTACATTCAGAATATAGAGTATGCTAGTTTTTATATAAGATTAAATATATTTTTCATAAACTTCAAAAATTGTATTATTTACTCAGTTTTTAATATTAGAAATAGATCAGGTATTCCTTGGGGTAGTGACAAGGGACACAATTATCACACATCCAAACTGAGAATTATGTTCTGGGGACTTTGAAAATCACTGCTGTCTGTGCCGTCTCAGGGACATCAGACCATTTCCTTTTCTCTGTTCTTCTCTCCCTCCCTTCCTTCTTTATTCTCATCCATCTGCCTTCCCACCTCCCCTTCCGTCCTCCCTTCCTGTCTCTCTGCCTTCCATTCATTCTCCCTTTTCCTTCCTGTGTTTCTTCTTCTTCCTTTCTTCTTGTGCCCCACCCTTTCCCTTCCATCTCCCTACCTCTTCTTCTCCCTCTCCCCGCTCCCTCTTTTCTCTCTTCAGTGGCTCCACTCACTAATGTTTACATCTCACCTGATACAGGGGCCCCAAATCTACCAGTCATGACATCAAAGAAGTTTCCGATGTTGGTCTCCACACTGCTGAAGATAATGCCACTGTTCTGATTGCTGAAGTGAGTTGCTAGAGAAGCCATGAACGCAATCTAAGAAGAAAGTCGGGGTCAGTTCAAATCTGTCTTAAAGAAAAACACTCTTACACAGGTAATTTTATCCCAATGTTATTTGTGATGGAAAGCTTGAATATAGATACCAAACAATAGACAAACAAGTAAATAAATTATAATAATTCAATGTGTTTTATGCCATATAGATACTAGTCTGCATTAACAGTTCTAAACATATTTCAAAAACTACTACTCCTTAAAAGATATATTTTTTTAAATATTAAATTCTATTATCCAGTAAAATGGGAAAAATTTGGATGAAGTTCTCAGGCTGTAGTATTAGATGCATGTCTGTATATTACATGATTAGAGAAACTGACAATTGAACTTCTTACTTTTGTTCACCCTAGGGAAATATCTTTTCATGCATTAATTAAAAAGTAGGCAACACTTGGCCGGGCGGTGGTGGCGCACGTCTTTAATCCCAGCACTGCCTGCAGAGAGGCAGAGGTAGGTGGATCTCTGTGAGTTCGAGACCAGCCTGGTCTACAGAGCAAGATCCATGACAGGCACCAAAACCACACAGAGAAACCCTGTCTCTGTGTAGTTGCCTACAAACAAAAAAGTAGGCGACACGAGATTATTGTGACTTCCTATCAGACTTTGTTAAGTGTATCTATGTAAGTGGAGTTGTTCTGTAGTCAACCTGAGAAAAGCATCTTTGAGAATATCCATAAGTGGCTAGCAAGGTGCCTGAGCAGGTAAAGGTGCTTGCTGTTAGGCCTGATGACCTGAGTTTGATCCCCAGGACCCACGTGGTGGACAAAGAGAACCAACTCCCCAAAACTTGTCCTGTCCTATTTATTTTTACAGTGAAAGGGTCTTGTATGAATCATCTTTAAAAGGCAAAAGAGAGGCTTTTGATACCAAAATATAGAAAAAGTGGTTAAATAAAATCAGAAATCTGTTTGACATTTGGAGAAGCAAATTTTCTAAGCATAATTTTGCATAAAATAAATATCAAGTAAATTGGGGCCAGAAAATTCAAGAGAGCCAAAGAATCGGTTACTGTGAGCAGCCCCATCTGTAACTTATAACTAATCCCTTGTATTTAGGAAACCTTGAGAGTCTCGGCTCAATCCATAAAAATGAGTGAGAACAATTACTCTAGAAACCTGTCCCCTGCTCCAACTGTGAGATCCTGTACATTGGGGAATAATCTATCTATTTGGGTCCTGTCTTAAGTTTCTATTGCTATGAAGAGTCACCATGACCATGGCAACTCTTATAAAGGAACACATTTGATTAGGGTGGCTTGCTTGCAGTTTCAGAGGTTCAGTCCACTGTCATCATGGCAGGGAACATGGCAGACAAGGTGCTGGCTGCATCTTGATCAGAAGGCAACAGGGAGTGGACTGTTGCACAGACCTTGGCTTGGGCATTTATGAGCCCACCCCCACAGTGACACACCACCTCCAACAAGGCCACACCCACTCCAACAAAGCCACACCTCCCAATAGTGCCACTCCCTACGAGCTTATGGGTGGGGTGCCAATTATATTCAAACTACCACAGGTCCTAAGATATGAGATTGAGTCTGAGCTTAAATATAAACCTCAAATTTCTAGGTCCCTTAAGTTGAGAATGAGGCATCATTATTGCTCCTTTATGGCTACTGCCATTGTTGCTGCTAGTAGTGTTCTAAAACTAGAATTTGAATAATTAAGAGAGCGTTAGAACAATTCTGTCTATCAAGAAATGGTTTCACTTGGTAACACTATTGGAGGGGATTTGAAAGTCAATGACAATCCCTTGAAAATAAACAGCAGCAATGAGAATAATAAATTCTTTAACATGTAATGGATGTTAATAACTCTCCTTTATGAACTTTTTTAGTTTGCAAATTTTAAAATTAAAACATGATTTCATCATTTCCCCCCTTCCCTCTAAAATTCATGGCCTCTTTTTTTTATTGTTTGGTTGTTTTTGTTTGTTTGTTTGCTTTTTGAGACAGGGTTTCTCTGTGTAACAGCCCTAGCCATGCTGGAACTCAGCTTTGTACTGAGTTGGCTTTGAATTCACAGAGATCAGCCTACCTCTGCCTCCTGAGTGCAGGGATTAAAGGCGTGCACCCCCCAAGCCTGGCTTGTGGCCTCTTTTTAAAAAATTAGTATTGTTACTTATATAAATGCACAAATACATAAATATGACCTGCTGAGTCCATTTAGTGTTGCATATATATTCGTATATAAATATAAACACATATATAAGTATATATATACATATATGTATATATATAAACAAGCGCTCATACACACACAGACAGAGACACACACAGACATATAAGTTTTCAGGACTGAGCACTTGGTATTGGATAACCAATTAACTCATCCTGAAGAAAACTACATCTCCCTCGCTCAGTGGTTAATTGCCGGTAGCTCTTTGTTTAGAAGTGGGGCCTAAGAGATTCCTTCCTCTTATCCATGTTAGCGTGTCTGTTGGTGTTGTCACTGTTCAGACAGCCATATGGTTGAAATTTCCTGAGTGCCTCATGCCTGTCACTGTTAAGGAGTCAACCTCACAGCTCTTCCTGGTCCTCCAGCTCTAACTGTGTCCTTCTGTCTCCTCTGCTGCGATGGTCCCTGAGCCTTCGCTGTGTGGGTTGTGTTGTAGATGTATCAGCTGGGGCTGGCCACCTAACTCTCAGTTGTTCTCTGCATTTTGACCAGTTGTTTTCAGAAATTTCTGAAGTCTTCCATGAACCATGTGAAAGCATCATCCCAAATGATAGTATTTGTCATGTAAAACGATCAACAGACAGAATTTAATGATTTAATAAACTGCCTGTTCTATGAAAAGAGCATGTATATGTTCTGTGTTGCTGGTTTCCATACATCTCTAGGCTGTCGTAGAAAATGCCTTAGCTTAGCTAGATGGCCTCCCACCCCACTTGTTAATTTATATTGGCACACAAATCCCATCATGCTGAAATTATTCAACAGCATTCATTACAAGTTACCTCCAAACCGCACAGAAATCAGTTCTAATAGCACATAGGACACCTTATTTTACACTTAAAAAACAGGATCCCAGGAGAATGATGCAATGTACCCAAGAGTAAACATCATGATATCTGCCAAAATGAATAGCAGTTTCCTCTAATCTTTCAAACAAGAATGACTTTGTATACCATTTCTCAAAACACCTCTCCTGTTTACAGAATTTTCTCCCCAATACTTAATTTTAACCACAAATTGCTGTTTAAGGAAGATACATTAACCAGACACAACCTTTACTACAACAAAAAAAACCTAGTTTACTCTGTGAATATAGATGTCCTCTAGGAGAATCCATTTTTAAATATTAACAAAAAAACTAAGCTAGACTTAATAATTTTTCTGAGTGACCTAACCTCAATATTTACAAATTTTAGATGTTGCAAGAAAACTTATAAATATGAGTTTAAAAAGAAACAAAGAATGCATCCAACTGTAAATGAGTTATGGCCATATAAATGGATTTTAAAACTTGATAATCTGATCTAGCTAATTGAATAACTAAAAAAAATGAATCATCTCTAGTGAAAAGAAAACTCTGTTGTGAAAAGTTTAAATAAAAATTGAACTATATGGAGCTGGACAGAGGGCTCAGTGGTTAAGAGCACTGACTGCTCTTCCAGAGGACCCAGGTTCAATTCCCAGCCCCCACATGGCAGCTCACAACTGTCTGTAACTCCAGTTCCAGGGGACCCAACACCCTCACACAGATGTACACACAGGCAAAACACATGAAATAAATAAATTATTAAAAAATTGAAATATACAATCTGATTTAAGAAAAACAATGTTAATATACATAGATGAAATTTCACTACATAATGTGACAAATTAGCAAATAAAATATAAGTAGATGCTTAGCCCTTCCGTTTATATGTTTAAATGTTTCGGTGCAACTTGGTTAAAACCCTCATATTTATGGCTGTTTGGTCCCATGAGAGAGTCGGGTTTCACACTTGATAAATACCCTTTCCTAAGAATGTTCTCAAAGCTGGGTTTGAGATGTTGGTGATGCAGACGTCCTGCCATGTCAGTGAGCAACGTGAAACGGAGATTTCAAGACGAGTGAAGGCTAGTTTACTGGAGCCTTTTGGCCCCTGGTCCCTAGGTCCAGGCAGCGTTAGAAGTGCCCCGGCGGCGATGTGCAGAGGGTGGTTTACCTGCAGCTCTGGCGGCACGCCTGGGTAGCCCTTCTCTCCTTTGGGGCCATGCTGCCCCCGCTCCCCTCGAGGCCCCAGGTCTCCTTTGTCTCCTTTCTCACCTTTGGCCCCTTCATGGCCAGTGGCTCCGTTATTTCCATTGTTTCCATGGTTTCCTTTAAAAAATCAGAAATCATATGAGAAGAGTGATTCACTCCTACCACAGTGTATTTTTAGACAGACACAGCTCCTTCCTTCAAAAATAGCCAAACTCAGTTGTAAAAGGAGAACATTAAAGCAACCCTGACCACAGCACTTTAAAGGGCATCATCACATGAGCTCTCATTTACTGGACTCTGAAAGAGATGCCAAGACTCCAGAGCATGCTTTTCTGTAAAGCGAGGACTGAATGAAAGACTGTGCAGAAGACACACCATCACTTTATTATTAAAAGCAGAGGAGACTAACAGACAAATTACCCAGCAATGCTCGAATGGCTAGATTTTATCAATGGTACATTTTATTACATTATGTATTCATTAAAATATTTTAAATGATCAATGTTACAATAAACATCAGTGATTTTTTTAGTTAAGGTTGTAAATAAATAGGGATGGCATAGCACGATTTCAGTTTGAATCATTATATATTTATATAGTATATCCATAGGGAATAAAAAACTAATTCTAGTTATTATCTACAGTTATTTATAGTTTTTTTCTGATTGGATGAAACAGGGGTGATTTTGTGTTGCTCTATATGTTTTTCCATCTCCTTCAAATCTGATACCAAAGCCATTTTATAATTGGGAGAAAAACTCATAAAGCAACATAATAAGTTTTCAAATCAAGAGTCAAGCAGTAAATTCCAAGGTTCACTCCTCTGTTGAGACCAGTTCTGCACCTGTTTCTTATTCTCGTATTTGCTAACTTCAGGCTCGTTTGCATTATACCTGTATGTTATCTTTGACAGGGCACTAAATCAGGCTTGCAATGCTCTCAGACCAATGAGCTTTGACTATTAGATTAAAGTGTTCTGTTACAAAGGTACTTTCTAATGGGGACTACTGAACCAAAGCCAGTGTGTCCTGTAACCTCAGAGGAGGTCACAGAGACTAGAGATCCTTTGTTTCACATCATTCGCCCTGTGAATGGATGCCTTTGATAGTCAATGACATAGGTTTAAATATAGGCTAGGGTTTGGGGTTGTTTTTGTTTGTTTGTTGTTTGTTTTTTTCATTATAATTTGGTTTCATATGAGTGGTACAAAAGAGTTAATTCAGTTTTGATAATTATTAATATCAATGGGGGAAAATCTGGGAACACAAGTAGACTTCTTGTAGAAGGAACTCCTCAGGGGTGGGGACAAGCAGAAAGGCCTGCCCTTTGCCCACCCAGTTCCTTATAGTAACACTCTAACAGAGTAGAGTGACCCTGAACCTAAGCAGCTGGAACAATAGAACACAGGTTGATCATGGATCTAGAGCAGTGATTCTCAACCTGTGGGCCATGACCCCTTTGGGGGTTGAACGACCCTACACAGGGGTCGCCTAAGACCACCAGAAATATCAGATATTTATATTACAATTTGTAACGGTAGCAAAAATAGTTATGAAGTAGCAATGAAAATAATTTTATGGTTGGTTGTCCTTGTAGCATGAGGGACTGTGCTAAAGGGTCACAGTATTGAGGAGGTTGAGAACCACTGGTCTAGAGGAATCTGATGAGCTCCAGAACATTCACTTTGCTGCTGTGTGTTGTTAGAGCCCAAAATGTATTCATGAGTTCAAGGGAGGCATGGAAATCAACTAGAAACAACAAAAATTGGTGAAATTTAAAAAAAAAAAAAAAGCCTAAGCCTAAAATGATGCAGAAAGTTATGGTCCTCAGTGGATGGCAGAGCGAAACCCAGCAAACTTTCCTTTCTGCCTGCCTCCTTTAATTCAGTCTGTTACTGAAATTGCAGTGCAAAGTGTGTGTCCTTACCTGGAATGCCAGGAGGGCCTGGAGGCCCAGGGGGTCCCTGGTATCCACGGAATCCATAATCTCCGTGACAACACTTGCTGCAGTCTGGGGGCAGTCCTCCGGTTTGTGGAGACTTAAAAAGGACGGAAAAAGAAACTTTAGGTAATGATATTTGGGAGCACTTAAGAACTTTTTAGCTTCCTCTGGCCTTCACCCTTAGAGAAGTTTACCTTCACGCAACTCAGTCACATCAGAAAATGTGTGCCTTGGGGTGGTTGTGAGGGCAGGCCTGTGCAGACAGCAGGGATGGTCTTGGACAAGCCTATGACAGCAAAAGCAGACTCTCCCTCAGAAAAGAACCCAGAAGCCTCTTCTCTCCCAATACCCAGAAGTCTCAGGTACAGTTAGACTACAGTAACCCTCAAAGCTAACCACCAACAACTTCCAACGTAGTTACTAAATACCACACTCCTGGTGATGGCTTAAAGGTTTTAGGATCCCTGTAACCCCACCTTCCCAAACCTCTAAAGCACACAAATCACTGAGGAAACAAAGCATTCTTTAGTCTGTACATTTCCTTATTTATTTTCAAATTGAAAAGTAGAAATATAGTTATCATAAACAACAGCTGTTTTGAGATATGCCTGTACACCCTTGTAGAACGGCTAGTTAATGTATGCATTGCCTCACTTGATTTCCTGTGATGAATACATTCAAACTCTGCTCTCTTGGCAATTTTCAAGAATTCAGCACACTGCTGTTAACTGCATTCATCCGATTGATGTTTATTATTTACACCTTGAGCAACTTTAACTTCATGATAAGTATTTAACATTTCACATATTCCTCTTCTAAACTTAAAGTGATTATCTTACTGTGCGAACTAATATTTAATGAGCACAAATGTGTTCTACATATGCTCACCTGTGACTTCCAATAGAATTCTTATTTGTGCAAAGATAAAATTCTAAAGCGTATTCTTACTGTGAAGGTCCTGAAGACCTAGTGAACTGGCTGGTGGGAGATTTGCAACTTGGGAGATCTGGATCCTCATCTGCACTGGCAACTGGCCTTCTCATTGTGTCATGCAAAATACTTGTGGAAACTTTCCTAGATCCCAGTTATGTTCAACAGTTTTGAAAACAGCACATTGTTGCTAAGGGCTTCATTGTGAAAAGAAAAGGAGGGGGTGGAGTGGACAGACCAGAGGACAAAGACGGGGCACGAGGCAGGGAAGGAAGAAGAGGGAGGAATTTATCATTCCAGTTTTCTCTGCCACTAGACCTCCTCCAAGGAGAAAACCGGAAGAAGGCTTCACATGACTACACATTTACACCTTACTTTTATCGGTTGGTCTTATAGGCTTCATCACTGTCCTTCCTTCTCCCTAAAGTTTCTCTTAAAACTATTGAGGTAGCAGCCCATCCTGGTCCAAGCCTTCTGTTGCCACAGCCCAGAACCCAGTGTTGAAGGATCAAGAGATATGTCCTGGAAATAATTCTTAGTTCTGAGTCTCCCAAGCCCAACCGCAGACGGGTATACATTCATATTGGCTAAGGAAAAAGAAAATAAACTAATACACTTGGTCAGAGATGAAGACACTTGGAAATCAAACACCACAGCCAACTCCACCTACCACACATCTGAGAAGTGTGTTCATCATCCCCTGATATCCTTTGCTAATGTGAAATACAGAAATAAACCCCAGGAATCGAGAGTTTTGCCAATGAAGGGTATCATAGATAGAGAAGGGGGAGGGGATCCCTTGTGTAAGAACAGAATGGAAATACTGGGATGCCTAGGACTGTTAGAATAATCACTACCCTGGAACCAGTGACCCTGCTCTGTTCTGTGTGGCCTTAGAAAGTCACCGTTCCCAGACATCAGTCTGAGTTAGCCCTGAATTCCAGTTCTAAGAATGCAAGCAAAGATACTATTATGTTTAACTTTCAATAATAATTTTGAAAGACCTTTAACTTTTTATAATTTCAAACAATTTTATTGCATTTCTTTCTTTCTTGTACGTGTAGGACATGATGTGACACACATGTGGCAGTCAGAGGACAAACTTGTGGGTCCTGGGAACCAAGTGTAGGTCATCGGGCTTGACAACAAGCGCCTCTGTCTGCTGAGCCAGCTCAGACAAGAGATAGCCCTGATACCTCCATTTGTAAATGTCTATATCTGCACACAAGGAAGTGGTGTGTCTTAGTATCCAAGCTAACAGGGATGAGCGGTGCTTGGCCAAGCTATCTGGGGTAACTCCAGGAGCACAGAGCTGCCACCAGTGCAGCAGACAGACTCCTGGTTCTCCTAGTTGGGTGCCTCCCAGGAACCTTCCTATGATGTTTTACCACATGTTCATCCCTCTGGCCTTGTCTTTCAAGGTCTAGTTCAGAGGAACAAAGATAGTGCAGCAAGTAGGGAGGGAGGGAAGAGGGGAGGGAGGGAGAGAGAGAGAGAGAGAGGGAATACATCGTGTATATTTGTTAGTGCAAGTGTGTGTGCTCATGAGTGTGCATGTATGGGGGGTGGGCAGAGATCACTGTTAGTATTCTTCCTCCGCCAGTATTTTACAAGACAGAACCACTGAATCTGAAGCTCCCCGGGTTAGCTAGGCAGGCTAGTCAGTGAACTTCAGGGATCTGCCAGTCTCGGCAGACCCCCCCTCCCACCCTAGCACTGGGTTACAGGTTTACAGCCACTCCTGGCTCTTTAGGTGAGTGCTGGGAATCAACTCAGGTCCAATGCTTGCATAGCAGACTGACTGAGTCATTTCTCCAGCCCTCTCTTGAGGCTTTTGGTGGACTCCAAAGTTGGACAGGATATGATTTAGACGTTTTATTCTCACTAAGGAAGAATATGGGAAGTCACTATTCACAGCCTCTTAAGTTTATCATCTTCCTTCCCAAAATGGGTAGTTATACACATGCAATTGAGCAGCTGAAAAAAGAGGGGTGTCTGCAAGACAATCTCCATTCATTTGGCAGAACTGAGTTCTACTATTAATGACTGGAGAAAAAGAACCTACAATTCTTTCCTTAGAGAAACAAGATGGTAGGGTGGGGAGAAGGGGAAAAGGAAAAAGAGTGAGGCTTTAGTGAAGAAAGTGCCAGAAAAAGAGAATGTAGATGTGCAGACTCTTCCAGCTCCAATCCACCACGGACTCCATAGCCAGCTCCCTTCCTGGTGCACAGATCTTATTACATCACTGCCCTGCTACCACAGACAGAACTTTCAGGAGCAAAGTGTAGTCTAGACTCCTTCACTAGTTGAGGGTCCTCCCTTGGCAGACACTCAGATCATCTGCAGTCTCCTCAAAGAGCACAGGGCCCAGCCACACCCAGCTGCTCCTGGGCTCCATCAGTCCTCAGTGTGGTGCAGGTTTTTGTCTAGTACTCTTTAAACCTCTGATATGCACAGCCATCTTTTTTTTTTTTAAAAAAAAAATCTCTTCTCTTTACTTTCTTTTTAAGGCCCAGGAGCCAACACTATTCTTTTTTCCACAAGTTTTCTTTGTATATTGACCTTGTTTGCCACACAGAATTTGATCAAACTTAGTTAATAATTTAACAAAAAAGACTGGTGGGATATGAGTGAAGTTCAATGATTGTCATAATGAAAGCTGTTGCTTTGTATGCTAATTTTGTATGCTAACTTAATAAAAAAAATTAAAAACAAATAAAAATGTTGAAAAATGAATGAATGAACAAATGAACCCAGACAAGATTTTGTTCCTAATAGAGCACTTCAGAGTGGCTTGGTGATAGAGGCTTGGGTGTGTTTATGGTCCCAGTCTCCATCCTACAGCTTGAGAAAGTCAAAGTGGGGGAAGTGCTTGGGGAGGAGCTGATTGATGGGGAAACGATAATTAGCATAAAGAAGAGGATGGGGAGAGTAAGGAGAGAAGGAAGAACTTCGAGTGACCCCAAATTCGGTCTGTGCGTCGGTCCCACTTGTAGAGGAATATGGTACAGAAAGCTTCCAGGATGTTCCTGGCTCTGAATCTCCTGGGTAGCTCCACGTGGGTCTCTATCTGAAGATGCTTCAGGAATCCAGGGCTAGAAGACTAGGATGTGGAGTAAAGCAAAACTATATTGGGATTTCAGTGGCCTGGTTGGTGTTGGTCGCCAGGAAATAATCCAAGACCGCCTATAGTACCCCACTGGACCCCTAGGAAAGACGCCATCCATCAAGATGGACTGGACACAAATTAAACGAGGATGAAGATCATTAAAAAGTTAGATGAAGATCACTGAAGCAAGCAAGCATCTTTAGACAGAAGACAGTCTCTGAAAGAGGCGTTCTTTTTGTGCACCCCCCTGACAAAGCCCCACAGAGCGACTTGGAAACTGCACTGTGTGGTCCAGTTACATGTCTCAGGCTTCTTCCAGTTCTGCTGCTGAGTCTGTGTGGGATCCCAGTCTGACCACAGAACCAGAAAATCAACCAAGACTTTGTATGTGGGGGGTGGGGTGGGGTGGGGTGGTGGTTAGATATCAGCCATGTGAAAAGAAGCTCCAGGTACACTACAAGGCCTCCAGTCCACGGTTCTTGTGGTGATATGCACTGCTTCAAAGATCATGGAGTCCAAAGGACCCTTCTCTCCTCTCCATATAACTTTAGCATTTGTCATGCTTGGGCTCTAAGTACAAATAAGTTTCTTCCTGCTCTTGCTGCTTTTGATTAAACTGACGTTTGCTGATTTGCAGTTAACTATGCCAAAAACCCTTACTCATTCCTATGTTACCTAAAAGACCTAAAGAAATGTCCTCCAATGCTGAACTTTTGCCCCGCCAAATAGATCGAGTTCGGTCATTAGGAGACTGAGTTATTCAATAGCTTGTAATTTAAATATGTAATCTTTTTTTGTTTCCTTTCCTTTTAATGAGTTAATCTGTTAAGGAAAAAAATGTCTAAACAAGAAGGCTTGGCAACCTAAATTGCTACAAAACAAACAAAACTAGAGGGAAATGTTGCAGAAAGTTCACAAATCCAAGTAAAAGCAGGCTTAACTGATTTTTGGCAGAGGCAAAGGGCAGCTTCTCCCTGCTGGGGAGGATTAAAAAGAGTCCAGTTCTCTTGGGATCAGCAAATAATTATCTACAGCAATGCATCTATCCACATGGGTCAGCCTTTCTTTCTGCATCAACAGAGCAATCAAAGTAACTATAGTAATAAAATCCCAACACAAAAGGAAGCTGACTCCTCCTGCTCCCCATTCTGATGGGGCAGTGCCACTCTGTCCCAGCACATCGTGCCAGCAACTAGGAGTCCCTGTTGGCTCCCAGAACAACCCCAGAAACACCCACAGATAGCAGCAAATGCTCACGAGCGCTGATCTTAAGAATCATAGTTAAAGCAACAGCAACATCAGTCATTTAAGTTTGCAAAGAAATCCTTAGAAGAGAATTCCGAGTACCTGGCCCCAGAATGGGTTGATCTGGGCTAGGTCCTCTACCTCAGGGTGTGGAAGCTCATCTGGTCTCAGGGGTTTTAGGTCTGTAGAAGTGTTATTATCCACAGTCCCAGTTTTAGGGTGGCTCCGCTCTCTCACTTTCTCCCTCCTGGAGCCGCTACGGCCAGTCTGCTGGTGGCTCTGCACTATCCGGGCCACCGCGTTCTTAGCTCTTCCGCTCACCTCCATGTATTCATCTTGACACAGGCAAAATGGGAGGAGAAGCAGAGCCAGCAGGTGCCACCAGACGAGCTGCCTCCTGAGCATGGCTCACAACAGAGCCGCAGCGTCTCCCTGGGAAGCCGATGGGGGCTGTAGGTGCCGTGGTCGCCTCAGGCAAATGCCAGGTCTGGAGATGAGAGCTGCAGCCGGCTGGGTGGTTTTATACTTTGGGTGTGTAATAAATAAGGCTACAGTCATGCCAGAGTGACAGCAGCCCTCCTCCCAGACAGGACAGCCCCCATTCATCACATTCCTGCACCACAGGCAAGACAGTTTGTGTGCACGGCGTCCAGTTGGTGGGGTTCATAAATGTCACACCTTGGCATGCTTTTTTGTGTGAGAGTGAAGAAAATGTGTACACAACCAGCTGGAGACAGAGACTGTGTATCTAGTGGTTCGCTTTCATGATTAGACATGGAAAGGCTGTGCATTTGTGGTCTAAAATGACTTTTGGAAAAACCTACCCTTGAGCTTGCCAGGGAATCCAGCTCAACTGTATCAGTTCCTGCAATTACAGCAGGGACCCGTTCAGGTCAACGGAGGGAGGTCTCGCTCTGAACAGAACAGATTGCTCTTTCCCTCTTTCGGCCACGGCAAGCAGCGCATTCTCCCTCCCAGGTACCAGCAGGAGCTGGCGTCGGTTGACTGAGAAAGACTGACCAGGGTTGAGGCTGAGTTTGGCTGAGATGTTTCCCCATGTGAAACTTTATTTTCTTCTCCTTTGTGTCTCTAAAAGCCACTGCTGAACACCAGACGATCTGCGTTCTTGCTAGGTGGAAATACAACCTACCTCTCGTTAAAAGACATTCTTCTCAGGCTGCTCTCTACCTGCGGGAATGTTGCTGAGCTAATACCAAGGAAGGGTGGAAAACACCCAACCAAATATACTATTCTAAGAGTTCAAAATCGAGAGAATTACCATTCCTTAAAGTTCCTGTGCTTGTCTTGATTAAACCAAAGAACAAATGAACACTCCTAACCCCTTTTGTGATACTAAATTTAGAGAATTGATAGTGTTGCCGTTAAAAACTGCCCCCCCCCTTTGAAACAGGAATTCTCTGTGTAGCAGCTCTGGCTGTGCTGGAACTTGCTGTGTGGACCAGGCTGGCCTTGAATCACTGAGATCTGCCTGCCTCTGCCTCCCAAGCACTGGGATGAAAGGCGCACATCACCGCCCAGCTAAAAATTGCTTTTATTTACAAATCATTCCATCTATTCCTCACTGATCAGAAGGTTGTCGGCTCTCCCCCTTGAAGCTTGCTGCGGTCCTGGGCTCTTAAAGGGGATGAGTGGGCTAGTGTCTGATCTGGATGCTCGAGGGCAGCTATAGAAGACAGTCAAGACAGTTTTCTGTAGAGAAACCAGGGTCGGTCACTTACTGAGCAGCCAGAGAAAGTGAGGAAGGAGTCGCCACGGCTGCCCTGTGTCAGCAAAGGGCCTTGAGAACTCAACGCTGCCTCTGAACTGGCCAAAGTGGCACATGCTACTTTGGCCAATCCCGCCATGAATGGCCTGGCCAACTGTCTCCAGACCCGACGTGGATCCAAAGAAAATGTTGGGGGCCAGTGATAGAGTTTTCCCATGTAATAAAGCTCCCTAGATCACAATCGGGGGTTGGGTGCCATGATTACCCAGCAGGCAGTTCTCACTTTCGGGACAGAGACACCCCAGTTCACCAGCGTGCTGGCTGCGTTTCAGCCGTCTTTCCTGGAGGCTGCTTTGAGCCCCCACAAGCACTGTGCAAATGTGGACAGCACATCAGACTGTGGTCCCGCCTGAATTCTCTCAGGGAACCCCCTCACGGACCCGGAGGCAGTCCTACAGAGCCACGGCCTGTCTGAGGACACATCCGAGGTGAAGGCTCAGCTGTGGCTAAGAAGGATAGCCCAGGACAGTGCCTCAGTGGGATGCTCCAACCTCAGGGAGGCCTGGAAAAAATGTAACAAAGCAAGAAACAGCTGTGAAAACGAGGTCACCCGATTCACCGGTGCTCTAAAAGTGGCCCCTAGCTTTCTCCACCAGGCATGTGCTGTCTGCTCCATGACTATCAATCATCTTCTATTGACTTGCAGCCACAGCAGACTCCTCATTAGTGTTTCATTCCTGGTCGTTCTCAAACCTAGCTGCACATTAAACTAAGCCCAGGGGCTTCTAAAAATACCAGTGACTTGGTCCGACTTCAGACCTTCCAGTCAGAATCGCCAGGACACTGGAACACCAGGAGTTTTTCCCCAGGATGAGTGATGGCTACAAGTCATCGATCCATACTCTGCCGGACTTGAGAATAACTAATAATATCATGATTTGTTAATGCCACATACCAGCCAAATGCTTCTTTAGTTTACTTCACTGACTTCTCCTAGCAAGCTTCTCCATTTTTGCAGAGCGAAAATTAGATGCTCACAGAGGTAAAGTGGCTTGTTTGGTGTCACACAGTGGGATAGGGGTGACTGCAAACAGACCCCATCGGTCTCCTATTCTGGATTCTCTGCCTCCTACAAACAGCACAGGGGGGTGAGGGAAAAAAAAGATAAGCTACCAATCCATCCATACCTGCCAGGGAGCTGTTCATAACCAGGAGGGGTCCCACAGTGTCATGGGTTAATTGTGTGCATCTCAAAGACAAAAAGATGGTATAAAATCCCCTATATTTGTGAGTACGAATTTATTTTGAAATGATGTTTTCATAGATGGTCTCAATAAGGTCATTGGAGTGGGCCTTAATCAAATATGATGATGTTCTTATTAAAAAGAAGAAATTTGAACCCAGGGTCAGACACGCACATAGGCAGAGTACCATGTGAAAATGAAGGTGAGGATCAGAGCACAGCTTTTACAAGCCAAGGAACACCCACGATTGCCAGCAAACCACCCAGGGCTGAGCAAGGGGCGCAGGGCAGACTGTCTGTCCCCTCAGAGCCCTTACCAGAAACAACTTCACTATCACACTGATCTCCGACATGGGCATTCTGTCTCTGTGGCAATCTTCAAGTGGATAAAGATGGCATGTGTGGAAAGTTGAAGAAAAAATAAGGCTCCAGATAAAGCAACCGTTCTCTGTTGTGTGGCGCAGCAGGCTAGCTACGGTTGGCAGCATTGGATAGTATATTTTAGAATAGCCAGTAGAAAATAGTCAAACGTTTCTAACATGAAGAAATTATAAATTCTTGAGGTGATGGATATGTCTATTACCCAGACAGGATATTTTACATTGTGTGTATACATTTCATTTTGTTATCTATCTCCTAAGTAAATACAATTACTATGTGTCAATTAAAAATTACTTTTAAAAACCTACAGGTGCCTGAGAAGATGCTGTACTCAAATCCAGGCCCTGAATGACCTTGGGCTTCACTGGGCACTGTGGTGCACTCTAATCCCAACATTCAGGAGGCAGAGGCAGGCAGATCTCTGTGAATTCCATGCCAGTGTGTTCTACAAAGTGAGTTCTAGGACAGCCAGGACTATGTAGTAGGATCGCATCTCACAAAAAAAAAAAAAAAAAAAAAAAAAGGAAGGAAGGAAGGAGGGAGGGAGGGAGGGGAGATGGACATATGGATGGGTGGAGATGTGGACACAAGCCCGCATCCCTAACCCAGAACCTATCTCTAGTTGATAACCACTTAAAATGAGAATTTAGTTTTCTAAAGGACGTCTCAATGGGGAAAACAAACTACTCTTAAGGGGAGGCTGTATGCCCAGAAGTAGATGGCCAACAGGAAATGAACTCTAAAGCATCACTGGAGCTTCCTCGTCTCAATTTAGTGTTTTTATGGGATTCTTGGGTGTACAAATGAGTGGGTTTCTGTCTGTATCTATTTCTTGTGCCTTTTCTTCAGCTCTTTTCCTCATGTTTGTTTGCCTTGTCCTGTCCTGATGCGTTAGTTTTTGTTTTATCTTATTATGTGTTATTGTACTAGTATAGCCTGTTTGTTGTCCAATGAGAGACAGAAATGGGGTGGATCTGAATGGGAGGAGAGGTGGAGAGGAACAGGGAGGAGTCGAGGGAGAGGAAACCATAATCAGGATATTATAAATGAGAAAATCTATTTTCAGTAAAAGGAGGGAAACCCTACAGACTACCATCTTACACCTGAGGAGATGGTGGTTTGATAATTTATCCAGTTGCCCAAGTTCAAGGATGATGGATGACAAACTGATTCACCAAGTACCTGATGTTCCCATTCAGGTCCTTTTCCCTTTACTCTTAAGTTTCCCATTAACTTTGCTTAAACCTTAGTTTATTGTTAAATATTACTTGTGATTATCATCTCATACATCTTTCAAGATGTCTCTTGTACCTGATGTTCAAAAATGCAGACATAGTTATGATTATTGCCTATGTATCAACAACATCTGGAATCTTCCATCTCTTTGTAGAAGATGGAGTTCCAGTTCTGTGTAGCTGGCTTGGGCTCTGAAAGCTCCCAGAGGATGTATGAGGACACCGGGCTCCTAAAATATTCAGGACTGCCCCCTGCATCCTGCTTGCATTTCCTCCAGCCCCAGCCCAGGATGTTGGTACAGCTTGTGGTATAAGCAGCGAAGATGTAGGTGCATAGGAATATATGTGTGAAAACCCAGTCCCATAGCTCAGCTTTGCATATTGGAGGCAAATATTTGCTTAGCCTTACAAAGGAGGCTGTTGTGAGATGTGTAGGTGCCCTGTGGCCTCCCCTGCTGTGTTCCCAATGGCCTGGGTCCAAAGAGATCAGTTATGGTCTGGCAGTAGACAGTCAGGAGCTGTGCTGGATTCAAGGTCTCTTTATATCAGGGCCAACTTAAAGAGTAGCTAATGAAGGAGACTATCTGGCCGGTTTTCAGAAACACTTGATGAGTAACCCACATTTCCCTATCCTTTTGAGTAAAATAAATACTCCTTGTACACAGTTGGGTGAATTCAGAGATTCTACAACCAAGGCTTTATCCCTTTGATTAAAAAAAAAATATGTGCTAACTACAAGCAAAATTCAAATCATCCCTCAGAAGTGGTAATTTAACTGTGCTGGGCATTCATATCTAAACGTCGAAGCCCTCTCCAGATCTTTTCCTGAGAAGTTTTATTTAGAGAAAATTTTAAAGAATGGGATCAGGGAGTTGACATTGTCTCTAGATATGAAATATTTCCATCTGGAGAAAAGCCAATCCATGCTTG